CCTCAGGCTGTTCCATACCTTGAAATCAAGGACAGACCCCACCACCAGGTCTTCACCTTTGGGTGGGGGTACACCAGCTCTAAGACAGAGCTTTGAGATTAGGCAGGGAAGGAAGACGGTGGTTTTTCTGAATTCCTTCTTCAGGCTGCCATAAATGAGGGGTAATGCATCAAAAGGGATGTTCATCATGATGCAGTAAATTTGGACCTGTGATACCCACTTGACAGTGGCATCATGGGATGAAGGGGTTAGGTTGGTGTTGACAAACAAGGCCCAGAATCTGGCCTCTTCCTTCAAACTGCCGTTGCAAAGGGCTCCTTTGGCATAGATGGGCTTGCTAATGGTGATCAGTTGCTTTACTTCCAGCAGAAAGTCATGGTCTTCTCTCCTTTCTATGAGTCTAGTGTAAGGGCAGTCGCTCACAACTGGCAGAGATAACACTTCCCTAATAGCTTTAGGGGAGAAAGAGACATGTTTTCCTTGCACCTCTACCTCATTTGCCAGGTTGTCTGGGCGTGGCAACCTCCTGGCGTGGTACAGAAATTCTGCAACCAAAGAGGGGTAGAATTCTCGTGCAGCAGTTGCAAACATTGTCCATCTGAGTTTGCCTAGAGCATTCAGAATGAAAGTTGGCATGGGGGCTTAATCCTTTAGGAAAATGTTCCTCTCTAGATAGAGAGAAACATTACTTTCAGTAATCTCTGGGTCTTGAGTGTAATCAGACACAAGAGTGATGGTTACTGTAAGTCTAGTCATAGTTGTGGAATGAGAAGAGGTTAGGGAAAAAGGTAAAGGAGGTAGATAGAAAGAAAAAGTTTCTGAGTTAGTAAGGGAATGGTAAAGCTTGAAAGAGAGAAGAGAAGGGTTTAAATAAGCATGCAGATGAGGGAAAGTGAGGAGTTTTTAGGACGTGGAGGTTAAAGAAAGAAGTTGAAGAAGTAGAGGAGGGAGAACGTTACGAAATGAGTGGTCAGGAATTAGTGGTATTCAACTGCTAATGATGGTTTGAGGAGGTGGAACGGTTTAGGGCAAAATCATGGGAGAGAAGAAAAGAGGAGCAATTGCATTAATGGATGAGTGGACAGTTGCTTTTGCAGGCACGTTTTCAAAAATTTGCAATGAGTGCAGGTTTGATAACGGATGCATACCCTTGAATGACTCAGCAGGGACAGGTGTCCCTGCTATCCTTATCTCCTAAGCCTAGGGAACGTTCCCTTTTCTTAATCTCTTCTGACTTAGACTCCCAAGAAAAAAATATACTAACAAAATAACAATATGAAGATCTAATATCTATCATGGACTAAAAAAATTATAAAACAGAAATTCAGAAATATTAAGTCAAAAGAAATAATCTATATCTATTAGAGTAAATACCATTTTTGGTCCTCATCAAATTTAACGATGCCCGCTTTAGTCCCTAGAAAATAAAAAGGCTATTCGTCGTCCTTAAAAAATTCAAGATGGACCCATTTAGTTGAAATCGTGGTCCCTCATAAATTCAAAAAAGACCCATATTAGTCCCTCAAAAGGACTAAAATGGACCACTTCGAATTTCTTAGGGACGAGGAATAGCCTTTTTATTTGCTAGGGACTAAAGCAGGCATCGTAAAATTTGCTGAGGACCGAAAAATGTATTTAATCTTATTATTATTATTATTTTTAAAAGAAGTATAGTGTATGTGGTTATTGAACCACCCCAATGAAAAAAATGGCCTTGAAGGCCGTAGGCATGTGAGGTTGAAAATAAAATTTTCAAAACGGAATTACACATACCATATCAAGAAACATGCTTTGGGACATGGATGTTACCATGTTTGCTTTCCAAAACTTGAAGATGATCAAGGTGAGGCTTGAAGATACAAGCCCTCTAATGTTGATCCACACCACCCTTTGTCAAGACGGAAGAACTCTTCTTCAAGGCCACCAACGAACACCAAGGGAGGCAAGCTAGGCGTCCCTAATGGAGAGATAGGAGGCAAGGTTTCAAGGTGTTTAGTTGAGTGAATTTTCAGCAAGAAAAAACACAAAAGTGGCGCATGGAATTCACTTAGAAAGTGCTAGGTAATTTTCAAAACTCTCTTAAGAAAAACCTCACAAAAGGATGACCAAAGGAGATGAGAGAATGAGTGAATAAAAATCTGATTTCTTCACTCAAAAATCAGCCCTATGTAGCGCACACTAGGAGAGGAATGAGTGGAGTTGTTGCAAATCAAATCTTGCCAACAACCTCCTATCATATCCTCATGATATCAAGTGCATATCTCAACAAAAATAGGACTTAACAACCATCATATGGCCAGCCATATGGTGCGCCCCATTTAGCCTCAAAACAGTCCAGATACGTTGAGTAGTTGCATTCAAACTTGAACCAACTCACTCACTTATTCTCTCAACAAACCAAATCTGATTGGAGCTTATTTGGTTGATCCTATGACCATCACAAGACCCCAAAATCAGCGCCCCAAATCAGCCTTGGATGATGCCCAAAGATCTCCTCTTGATACTTGGGATTTGTTCCAACAAGATCTTATCTTATCCTTTTGTTATGAAACAACTTTTCATAGCCAATTCAAATTCAAATTCAAACATTTAAATTCAAACGTTCAAACATTTAAATTCAAAATTTAAATTCAAAATTCAAAATTCAAAATTCAAAATTCAAATTCAAAATTCAAATTTCAAATTTCAAATTCAAAATTCGAATTTCAAAATTCAAATTCAAATTTCAAATTTCAAATTTCAAATTCAAAAATCAAAATTTAAATATTTGATAATTAATTTAACTGATTAAATTAATTAGTAATGTCTTGGACCGTCCAAGCCCATTACATGATCCATGCACCCTTTTTCCTTTTGGTGGGCTTCCAAACTTCTTCTTGGGCTAACAACCATTATTAGGCCCAATACCTTTAATGCTATATTATCATGACAATAAGGTGTTAGTGTGTGACCCATTAGGCCCAACATAGCCACTGACATAAATGGGCTTGGGCCCAACAAGCTCACAACCCATCTAATAACAACACAGAGCACTAGCAATGCTTTGTTGCCCCAGAGCTAGTTAGGTTAATGACATAATCATCCTATTACACATATTTGGTTACCGTATGTATTTCTTTTCGTCTCGGTTACCTTCCCATTAAACCTAGGGTAAGGAAACGTATCAACCCTTGCGGTTTAGGGTAAGCTTTATTCGAAATAGGGAATCTTCAATTTACTGACTCTAACGACAGATCATCTCATGATCTCTTTTACTATGCATAGATTCCCGAGTCCTTGTAAATGTCATCCCGATTTCTCCGTTTTACAGATAACCTAATCTCTCACAGAGATTTGACGAATTCCTTCAGCTTATCACCCTAGCCATGTGCTCTTTCAGGACAAGCCCAACAGTGTACCTACGAGTCTCCATGTTTCAGGCAGACGAGGTATACAGTCAAAGCGTGCCTTCTAGAACACAGTCTAGGTAATAACTTCTGGTCTAAGGAAAGACATACCCAAATATAAAGAGACTACTCTAATGATACTCTCTGTGAGATTTTCTCATAGAGTCTCTTTGTGGGTCTATTCAGTGCGAGCTATACCCTTATAGGTCCACCCACAACTTTAGCTAAGGCATCTCCATATCTATAGCAGATGAGGTCTTTACCTTGTATCCAAATACAAGTAGATAAGTCGTGCTAGTCTTACCCGAGATCACCGATACCCATTCTCAGTGTCTCTAGACTAGGAACATAGAATTAGGAATAAACGTGCGGTATCCTCGATCCTCATAATCGTGATCTCATCACAGATACTCAAGAAATAACTGTTCTATTCCAAGGGGTTTATCCAGTTTATTCATAATATATTAACAATAATATCGAGACAAAATATGAAACAGGATAAAGAGTGCTTATTATTTATTTGCGACAAAAAGGTCCACATCTTATGTCCTTATTTAATCAAAAAAATTGTCTCTAGGACACCCATATACTAACACCCAAAACTATGTTCCTGCCACGGAACGCATTTTAATTATTTGGATTAGAGGTGAACATCAGATGTTCCCTCTCTTTTTGGAAGCTCTGTGGTTAAGTTTAATCACCCCAAAACTTTGTTCTTATTAGAGAACAAAGGTAACCACTGGGTTGCCTCCCAGTCAGCGCTTAATTTAGTGTCTTTAGCTAGACATGTTACTTACGTCTAAGTTCTCTAGGGAAGATGTTAAGGGGACTTCAGTGTCTCCTGGTAACTTTTCTGGTGTTCTGGTGTTGAGGCTAGCAGTTATCTGTCCCAGATGGAACTCAATGTTTTTGACCACAACATCGTTCCTGGTAACATATTCCTTCACATAATTCTCCAAGGTATTGATGCATTGATCCTCTGTGGGGAACGGAGCATAATTGGGTCTTCTCTGTTGGTCATATGCTCCATTTCCCATACTGCTGCCTAGTTGGTATTGTTACTGCTGATTGTTGTATGATGGTCTTTGGTTCATGGGTGGTCTCCATTGTGGGTTATGGTTATGATCTTTCTGTATGGTTCCTCCAGAATTCTGATCTGATTGTTGTTGCGTCCTGCATATTGATTATCTTTGGCCTGAGTGAAGTTTCTGCTCCCAAAATTTTCAGCATAACATACCAAGGCTGTGGATGGGCAGTCTGTTGAATCATGATGATCACCACATGCTGAGCATGGTTCACTCTCAGTGGCTGTGAGTCATAAGACTTCCATTCTTGGTTGTTCTTGGTCAGCTTTCAGATTCTTCACCTCATTCATTAGTGCAGCCAGTTGAGCTTCCATGACAGTTTGTTTGTCTAATTCTAGCATGCCTGCCTTCCTTACTGGGCTCATTTTTTCTAGTGGCCATTGGAGACATCTTTCTGCAGTGCCTTCTATTATTTCGTATATGGATTCAAGAGTTCTTGTAAAAAAAATCTCCTACAACAAAATCTAAATGTGATTGAGACGTATGATCAATCTTTTTATAGAAAGACTGTAAAATTCCCCATTTCTCCACCCCATGTTTTGGACATTTCCTGATGATGTCCTTATATCTCTCTCATGCTTCATAGAGATTTTCTCCATAAAATATTCTGAAATTAGATAGTTCTGCTCTAACATCAGCTTGACGAGACATAGGGAGAAATATCTCTATGAACTTATTATAGAGTTCTTCCCATGAATATATGGATCTAGGGGTGAGAGATTTCATCCAGATTTTGGCTATTGAGCCCAAAGAGTAAGGGAATAGCATCATTCTCATACTCTCTTCTGTTACACCCTTAGTTCTGAAATTATCATAAATATCTTGAAAGTTGATGAGGTGTGTATAAGGATCTTCTGCAGGGAGTCCATTGAAGACTCCAGCCTCCCTGATCATATTAAACATGATGGGTTTTAGCTCGAAGTTGGGAGCTACAACAGGAGAGAGGATTACTCATCTCTCTGGTCTGTTCCTTGAAGGAGCAGCCAAAGCTCTGAAGTTCTGTTTAAGAGGAATCTCTTCATTGTTATTGTTGTGATCAACCATGTTTATTTCAAAATTATTTTCCCTGAGATCTCTTCTTCTCCTGTGAAAAGTGCGTTCTGGTTCAGGATCAAAGAAGAACTCAAATATTTCAGTGGAGTGGTGAGAATCTGTTTCAGATTCTTCACTCATAAACCATAAAACTCATACAGTATGCACAACAGAGTATATAACAAAAATTTAACAAATGAAATATATACAGAGTATGAACTTAAAATAGTATTAAGGACAGAATTTAGTGTAACTATCCCCGGCAACGGCGCCAAAAACTTGTTGGGTGCGAACCTGTTAATTGCTTAGATGTTCATGTAAAGGACGTTCCCTTAATTTAGTTCATCAAGAGAAAACACATTCGTTCTCTTGACTTCAACCCAAGTGTGCAAGTGCATGCATGAAGTAATAAATGAGACTATTAATGCCCAGATTATCATTCCCACGAGGATAGAGCTCTAAATTATACCTTAAACTATTTTAAAAAGAATTAAAATGAAAAGAAAAGTTAGTAATTAATCTGTTTGGTCAAACGTTCCCTCCTCCTATCTTGACAACGTTCCTCAAGAATAGTAGGTTTAATCTGATTGAAAATAGCTCCTCGCATCGTTATATATGAAATCCTTCTTGATGAGAGAAAGAACGACAATATTCATTGGAGATTGGTTGTTGTTCTCACAAGATTTAAAAAAGAAAATAACAATAAAATAACAATATTTAAGAGACAACAAGGTGGATGGATAAAACAGTTTTTAACACAAGGAACAGATCCACTGTTCCATTCTTAAATAGCTATATTCTCCACTCATAACTTAACTTTTCTGAATTTGTTCAGGTGTCTTCACTGTCAACTCTAATTCCTCAGCTCATGGACTTTAATGGCTCACAAGTTTTCATATTCCTATGGCTCCCTTGACTCCAACAGTTACTAGGTACAGAACCTTCAATGAACAAGGTGATCCCTTATTCCTAAGGCAACCAGTATTATTGTTTTCACAACAATACCTTCCTCCTCTGATTAAGCTGTCTGAAATCCCTTCCTTATGGAAGTTCCTTTCCCAGTATGAGTTCAATTTCTATTGATACTCAATGAATATAGCACACTTAATCACAGAAATACACAGTTTTTTCGTTCCACAAATAACTTAGCCCATGGCTATAACAATAAACATAATTATTCCAAACTGAAGTCCCATAGACCCGAGATTAACTTCAAAGATAACAAATGGAAGAGAAGAGAAATAACAACTTATATTAATAAGAAAAATTAGGTTACAAGAAAATAAAATGGAGAAGTATGGTTGTTGCTCGTGAGGAGTCTCAAGTGGTGATACAGAATAGAGAAAGAGTGTTGTCACTTAACTACTACTAAACTATACTACTGAAAAGAAAACTACAAATAAACTAAGTGATTTCTTTTTAAGGAATTCGATGGTTTCTTCGTGTTGGAACGTCCTATTTATAGGCAGAAGAGTGAATGGCAAAACTTGTAATTTCCATTGAGTTGTTTTCTTGACTGCATGAAAGGGGCGGTGTGAACAGTGCTAAGAGATACGCAAGTTGCTGGATGGGACACTTATTGTTGAGATTTTCCTTTTCTTCTGCATTCCCTCATGCCTTGCTTTCCTTTTAGCCAATAGGAACTCTTTATTCTCTGATGTAAACGTGTCTTCCTGCTTGATTGTTGTACCGCTTATGCTTTATGAAAGCTTCTTTTCAACGTTACCTGCAAAGTGTACAAAGAGATTGAGTTAGTGGAGCAGGTGTATTTAATGTTCCCAATTCGTTCCCCTTTTTCTATATTTCTCAAATGATTACATCATCATCCGTTTCCCACTATGTTTTTGTCACAAAGATATAAACACGTGTTTTTAATGCAAAAGTTGCTCATCAGATGATGGAACGGATGGTATTTTACCACAAAAATGGGCTTAGCTGGGAATGAATTTTCTTCCCATCATCTATCTCTATGTCTATGGTTATGATGCATTATTGTATTTTACATCTGAATGAACCATTGGACAGAGTGATCCTCCAGAACCTTTGGATTACTTAGATATATTCGTATATCTCACCCCGTGTTATGGGGCTATATTTCAGGTGGTTGTAGCTGTGCGGGAGTCCTAGGCAAGAGTCCCACAGGTTGAGGACATGTAGAGCATATGGAGAGCATGACACTTTATGCTATTTTTCATTTTGGGTTGTATTTGATAGGCTAGACTTAGTGCATGAACATTTGGGTTGCATGAGTTATGTATACCATGCATTTTGTTGTTCATGTAGTATTATTTTGGCTAAGTATAGAATTGATGTAATTATTTGTATTTGGAGAATTGTGATTAAAGTATGATGGACCTTGTGTAATTTATAAAGCATGTATGTGATGGAAGGGCAATAAGCCTATTTTAGGTTTTGATTATATTGTCAAATGAAGTAAATGCATGTAATGGAATTATGTGATTGAAATTAGTAATGAAATGTAAATGGACTTAAGCAATTGATTTTAAAGTGAATGATAATGATGTAAAAGTATTCTGGGTTTTAAGAGCAGCAAAGCTTGTTGGTTCTTGTGTGCCACCCTTGTCAATTAGGTACCATTTGATGTTTAGAACACACTTTGGTTAAAGTGGGATAAGTCAGATAAACAAACGAGATGCCGTCAAAAAACTAATAAATGAGCAGTTTTTAGGCCAACTTGAGAGAGCATATCTCCATCCATAGGAGTTCAATTGGGACGTTCCATACACCATTTTAAAGGTTAAAATGTCATCTATGTTTTGTAAAAATTTGCTAGTATTTAGAGTTGTATAGCACCATGTGGAACAAAATGAATACAGACTGCCCAAAGAGGTCCAGTGCAGGGGCTGTTTGGATCAGTCACTTCCAAAAATTGTTTCTCCCTCAATTCTTACTCAAATTAGGCTTATGATACATCAAATTAAAGCGCAAGGTGTCTAGTATTCTGTATAAAACTTTTAAAGCAGTTGGCTTAGTAAATCGTCCAGAACCGCATAAATGGCGAGGGAGGTTTAGTGACCTATTTTGGGTTGGTTGGCAGTTTTGCTTGTCCAACTTCAAACGGTTGTAACTGGAGCTAGAGAACTGCAATTGAGGTGTATGATACCTTGTTGGAAAGTTAATTGAGTCTAGTTTAATATAATAAAATATGAAAAATTAATGATGAGTAGGTTGCGCATAGTGATGAAAAAATAGAAGCATGTTCAGTGTTAAGAAAACTGTAAAAGTGAGATTTATGCTAAGTGGATTTATGGGAACCCCTTAATAACTTAAAATAAGTAATGAATAATAGCTAAGCATGTATTATATTAATTCCGAGTATAGGTTTCAGTTATGATCACAGTTTATATCATTACGTTTTATATTATTTTCAAATGCTTACGTAATGAAAAGGAAAAAGTTTACTCGTATTTTCAAATAAACTGTTGTGATTGTAACTGCGCTTAATATCATAGTCAATGTTAACAATACCGGTGTACAACGGGCTGTTACAACTTACATCTAAACATATCTCTCAATCAACACACTTTCTTACTCCACAAGCCATCATTCTTATCTTTGCTTATTTTAATAGTTATGCATCTTTAACTTAACCTTCTTGACACTATCAATTCATGCGCATTTCATGCGCATTGCCAATAAGATAAGAGTAAGATATCTATGTAATAGACCATAAAACATGCAAAATAGGCACCTATGTCTTTCCATCATATATGCATATAGTCCATGATTACATAATGTCCAAATGGATCAAATATTTACATCACTATCTACACATATTGGAACTTAGCTATACAAAATGACTATGATCAAGGTCCTTGGCTCTATCCAACAACATGAGAATACCAAAGGAAAGTGATCATAGGTTAAGCCCACCAAAATACATCAAGGTATATCAATGGCTATCAAATGTAAATCCTATATATGTTTATCTAACCTATACATAGGATATCTCAAAATACATTAAAGCACGCCATAAATATGCAATCTATTATGACCTTTTGCCAATAGATGCTACAACATCATTCGTACATGAAAGGATTCCCAAAACACGGGGTGAGATAAACATATCAGTAAACTAGGGGTCCTTGGAGGGCTTCTCCACCCCAAAGCTCACTTCAAGCAACAAGCAGTAAACAACATAATCATGAATGTATGTATCATGCAAAGTGTACAAACTAACTGTCTAATATTCCTGCTAGTGCCTCACACCGTCCTCAGAATACAAATGACAGTACCATAGCCATCCCTCATGATAAACATACCTTAAACATGACGCTTAAGAGAAAATAATCCTAAGGCTAGAGAATAGTGTACGAATTACGCAACCGTGCAACATACCGTTTGAATTATGCAAGAACCGTCTTACCACATACTTGTGTAAGAATCTCTCTTACACCACACAACAAGCATCATACAACATGAATTATATTCAATCTATTGCACAACCATATAAATCAAAATCAACACGGGCTTGGTGGAATAGTCAAGGGATAAATCCAAAGATCCAAAAGCTTACTTGTAAAGCTCTCTAACAATATGCTTCCTTCACAACAAGGTGATCCTCACACCCAATGCAATAAAAG